ATGGCAGCTGCCTAAATTCAGTGAAAGCAGTGATCTCATGCGCTCAGCGCTTACATTTGAGAAGGAGGCATATAGAAGTCTACAGATCAACTGACAAAATAAGTGAACTGAATAAAATCGAGGAGGAAGGGAGGGTGAAGGAAAGTCTGGCCTTTAAGCCCAAGCCAAAAAGATTACCTTTGTCCTCTGTGAAACTCCTTGGGCTTTGTGGCACGTTTGATATTTTGAACGTTTTCACTGTCTGGAGGATGTGGAATACTTTCCCTGAAAATTGATTTTACAAACAGCACTTAAGAAACTCCAAAAACATATGTGCAGCTGTGGTTTGCACTCTCTGTGCTTGTCAAAAATTCGCTGCACATCTGATATATCACTGCGCCTTTCTAGTAAAATCCTGCCAGCCTATGAATCAACAAAAAACCTGCATAGTCTCCTGGGTTCAAAATCTGCTTCACTGTCCAGCCATTCCTGACTATAGCTGATGGATGATGTGACTCAAATCAACTCCTTCACTTCTAGTCACTAATCAAAGTCCACTTTAAAGCCATTTATCTTCACATTCAGCTGAATTAGTTCCATATTTAATATGCCACCACTCACAGTATTTCATGATGTCGCCAGAAATTTGTCATCATCTCCTAACCATGCATCACAGTTACTTTCGGATGTGGCCACTAAGGAAAGGACTTGTTCCATAACTCTCCTGCATCATAGTTTCCCCCCACAAAGTTTCATGGGTGAAAAATGCTGTCACTTCATATTTTCTCTAATAGCTCTCATTTAAACGAAATCGTTCACATCTGATAATGACTCAAACTGCACGCTTGAAATGAAACGTCCCAGTGAGTTAAATATGATGCACTTAAATCTACTTTGTTTTCTGCAAATGGAAACGTGGACACTGACGTGCACACATGCAAATACCTGCACATTCTAGGATTCCTTTTGTTTAAACTTGTTAATATGACAGCTTCTTTTGAATGCATTTTAAATATCCAATCACAAGGCACGTGACCTCTTTGACAAGTTCAACTTTCTCTTCACGAGTGGACAAGAAAGCAACAGTACCTGGATAATCAGATAAAACAAGTATCAAACTGCTTTACACGTAAGTGCTCTACTTGCACCTGCTTATGAAATAGTAAATCAACGATTTACCTGCCCAGCTGCATCCTGGCCCACAAAGCGTAAGAAATAGTGCCACGAGCGTCCTGCCTGTGGCTAAAGCCATGGTGAGTGTGGCGAACTACTGCTGTGGTGCGACGCACCAGCTGGATGCAGAGGGCTGGGACACATCAGCCCTCTTCCCTCCCATCTGCCGATGGGAATGCTGCACTTCGCCGTGAACTGCCTCTCGTTTACATCGGTAAACCTGCACACAAACACACTATTAATGCCTCATTAGTCGTTTGTGATTTGAAACAAGTATTTCGAGGCTGCTTTTCAAATCATAAAATGTTATGAAGAGGAAAACTAACTAACTAACTAACTAACTAACAAAAAAACCCAAAACAAAACATACAGACTGAGGCCAGAGTGCTGATTAGAAACATGGAGACTTAGATATTTTTTTTCTAAATTCCATGAAGTTAAGCTAATCATTAATGTCTGAATAAAATACTAATATGAAAGAGAGAAAATGAGAAAATGTCTCCCTCTGGAGGTAACCAGGATGATTGCATCCAAAGCTTTAAGGCTGGAAGCAGGTATAGAGATGAAACAAATGGGAGGACTTGAGAAGTACTAGATTATAACAGGCCTACGGATCAGTAATTTATTAAAAGAAATAAAATTAAAAAAAATAAAGCCAATATCTACCTTTTAAACCTCTATGATATTCTCAAGTTTCGTCTATACGACTATCGGTATTATTCTTCCAGCCCACCTGATCCACCCCAGGATTAAACCTTTCCATGACACCATCCGTGCACCAGGTGTGAGAGAACAGAATCGTGGGCCAAGTAAAATTCCATCACATGATGATCTAATCAGTGGAGACAAAGTTCATAATTACATCAATTTTCCGAAGAATTAATTTAACCACTAGATGGAGCAGACTGTTGTTGTCAATAAAAGGAGGCATTGAGGAGAAAACTGGAACTAATTGTTGAGTATTGTAAACACTGACCTAGCAATACTATGGCTTTTATCTACTGTTGTTTTGGATATAATCTGAATCGTTTGCCTTTCAAAAAAAAAAAGAAAAAAGGTGTGATGTCATGTTACAGTAAACTGATTTAGATCCATTTTTCTCTATAACTGAACTATTAATATATATTGTTTATTTCTTTTCCAATGTGCCCACCACACTGAAGTCAGGAAGATTTTCTACTCATTTTTTAATAAGAGAGCTTCTCTGATTTCTTAGAAATCTTCTGGGTTCTGCTGTAGATTCCCTCGACCTTTAATGTTATAACAGCAAATGTCCCGTACGGCCTGCGACAATATGGTAGCAAAACTGACTGAACTGACAGTTATTTTAATGAGTGTCTCCATTGGTATTGTCACGAAAACATCTCTATGTCCATCTGTACCAGTGTGGGCCCAGCCAACAGTTTTCCAACAGTTCCCTCTGCTGGCTAAAGCTCATATCACTACTGGAAAACAATGTCAATCATTTGCATGTGACTTAATTTATGAATGACTATGATGTCTTTTACATCAAAGTTATTCATCCAGAACCTTTCTAACACAGGGTTGGACCCCCTCCCCCGAGGAAAACACAAGAGAACTAAAGGGTTTAAGCCAGGGGCGCGGTTTTTAACCACACTTTGATAATAGGAAGCAGTGGCACAAAAATTCAGATTAAAAAAAGAAAATTGAATAATAACAAGAAGCAGCTTTGATGTCTGCTGGCTTTGGATCATTTGCACAGATTAAATTGGTGTTTTTTTTTCAGTATTAGTTACTTTATTACTCATCTCTCTATCTCTCTCATACATGAGTCAGTGCAAACCGCAATACATAATTTAAACAAAAGATACTTACAGACTGTCACTCATTCACACCAGAGAGAGAGAGACTGTGGTAGAAATGTGTTCTCTCTTGTTATACACACGCCTGAGGCTGTTTATGCCAGGTACTCCCATAATCGGTGAAGAGGCAAGTTTTTGTTTGTTTGTGATACAATACTGGGCCATCTCACCAGATTTATTGTATCCACAGAGACTGTCTAGTAGTTATATCAGTAGGTGTTAAAGTATAGTGTGTGTCCCAGGTCTGTCATTATTGTGTCTTTACTTTGTTGATCATTTTTGTCATTTGTCAAATTTGTTGCATTATGCTCTAAACTGAATTCTTTCATATCTAACTTTATTTAAAACACAATTGATTTGTGTTTTATTACAGAATAAAGGATGGCATGTTGGCTGGTGTGTCTTCTTTTGGAATCTTTATTTTTCTTTGTACAAAGATGATAAATTCAGGGATTGTTCATTTCAGTCTGCTGTTGTCTGTGTTTTCCATCATTTTTTTTGAAGGTGCTCATAGATACTCCCTAAAACTGGGTGTTGTAGTCATCTTTTATACCCCGTGTAAACCAGTTTAGACTATGATGCTGTTTTCTCAGTTTATAACACAGCATATGTGTATTTGTTTGGAATCCATTCTTAGCAGAATATTTGACAGAATATTGAGTGCTGAGCACTGCTCCTGGGATGTTAAGGACCTGAAGCATCACAATGCTGTGACAGGAACTCCTGCTGCTGCCTTTGCAACCAGAAAACAGTGGCATTCCTGAAGAAACTCACAGCTCTGAAGTTTTGGTTTCATGCTGTGAGGAACACTATATGAGCGAGCAGATGTAGAGCTTCTCTGCAGTTGTTTGCAGACACATCTGAACACTGCATCAAAACAAAGGTTTTCACACAGTTGCGCTCTTGGTATCTTTACAGTGATACCCATTACTACTGAATGATAACTAGTTTTCAAATCTAAAAAGAGGAGCCCAAAGAAACCTACCGCCTTATCTTTTCTCATACCAAATACATATATACTCATATTCCACTTCATTAGGTACACCTTGTTAGTACTGGCTTGGACCCTCTTTCTTGCCGTAATTCTTCCTGACATAGATCCAACAAGCTGCTAAAAACATTCCTCTAAGATTTAGGTCCATATTGGCATGCTAGCATCACACAGTTACAGATTTGTTGGCTCCATGCCCCAATCTACCACCTCTCAAAAATGTGCTATTGGATTGAGATCTTGTCACTGTGGAGGTCACTTAAGTATAGTGAAATCACTGTCATGCTCAAGAAACAAGTTTAAGGTGAGTTGAGCTTTGTAATGTGGTCTATTGTTGTACTGGAAGCAGCCATCAGATGGTGGGTACACTGTGGCCATAAAGAGATGGACATGGTCAGCAGCAATACTCAGGTAGGCTGTGGAGATTAAGCAATGCTCTTGTGGTACTCAGTGGCCCAAAAAGCTAAATATCACAGAGACATTACACCATCACCTGAACCTCTGATACAGAGCAGGACAGAGCCATGCTTTTATCGCGTTTACGTCAAAGGAGCAGCACCTAATAAAGTGGCAGGTGAGTGTGCATACTGGAGTAGATTTGAAGCTGGTGGTAGGTAAGTCAACATGTTTCCTGACGCCTCTTCAGCAGGAACTGTTGGCCAAAGGTCAGAAAAGGACAATGTTCACCTCACCTGTTCGTCATGTTGACCCACAGCTATACTAAAGGGATCGGGGAGTTGCAGTATAATGTGGGCGTGGCAGCAAACCGTTTGTAGCGTGCAAAGTTTATTGTAACAAGATCATCTTTTTATTTCAAAGTAAAATGCATGAAGTACAGTAGGTCTAGATTCATGGCTAAGCGTTTTTATTAAAAATGTCTCTCAAACAGCGGTAGGATTTTCATCCGAATCCCAAGCCTGGTCTGTGTTTTTTTGTTTTGTTTTGTCCCCCCGCAATTAGAGCATCATCTCTCTGTAGTTGAAGCCCACCCCCGCCCTTCCTGCGCAACGAGCAGAGTAAAACCAAGAGCCAGCTCAGAGATGTGCGATAGACCCAGCAGCCACGGAGTAGGAGGAAATGTTAACTGGAGCCTGTGATTAATTCATTTTTGGGTTTTGGATTTTTTGTTTGTTTTCTTTCTTTCGTTTAAAGAAACGCACGTAAAGTATTCATGTTGCCCGGATAGAAAACGATTTTTGGGTCCACCAGCCCGCAAAGAAAGGCTCACCAAGACATCATTAAACGCAGATTGCACCAAATCGATTCAAGTTTTATCTGTGTGGAGTAAAATTACTCCCGCCCCCACCAGACTGGACTAATGATGGCTTTAATGGTTCACCTGAAGACGGTCGCTCACCTGCGAGGGAAAGGTGACAAGATCGCCAAAGTTACATTCAGGGGTAAGGATATATATGTATATTTTTTGAATTATTCTTTGAAGCCGTGTGTGTTTGGAAACCTGATCGCGCTGTGTGCTGTGCCCTGATTTGCGTTTCGTTACACAATGTGATGAGAGCCAGTCAGCCGCTGCATAAAAAAGTTGGAAGAGTGAGAAAAAGAGTTTAGTTGCAGGCAAAACAGAATAACTGGTCTATATCACAAAGAGAGATCGAGTATCCAAGTCTTACGTTTTATTTCATTATGTTCGTTGATATGGTAAAAAACAACAACTGATAAATTAAATTCTGTCTTTTTTCCTTTATATGTTATATACATCATGTAAAGTACTACAAAAATTAATACCATTTCTGCCAAGAATGGTGAATGTAAATTCAAAGCTTTTATCTCTTCTATTTTTAAGTGTATCATAAAAGAGGAAAAAACACCAATCTTGGCATCCCTGAAACATCGATTTCCCATCACTGATTTTCAGTTATTTTATTTACTTTCTTTCAACTTACTAGAACAATGTGTTTAAGAGGCCAGTTTAGACTAAGCTGATGGCATCGATTGCTAAAGATGTGGCTAAAGATGGAGCTTTGTGAATGTTCTGTGTAAGATCTTTGGAGTACTAACCAATTCACTCAAATCTAAGAGTCAGAATTGTAGCCACGACCTTGCACTCTCTCTCAGAGGAGATGAGAAGAGGAAGTGAGTTGTGGAAAAAGGGGTCTAGTTGATTTATTCATGTGTTTCACGTTCTTATCGTTTGCTTTCCGTGTGCTGTGTGTGTGAGCAAAATAATGTGAAAGAAACTGAGACAGGAAGGAGGAGCGGTGTGTTTTTCAGCACCCTGGACAGTGATCAGTCCACTGACAGGTGCTCAGTCCCTGTTGAAATCAATACAGCATCACAATTGGAGAAGATGTTACAAGAGCACTGCTGCCTCCTTTCCTCTTGGTGTGTGTGTGTGTGTGTGTGTGTGTGTGTGTGTGTGTGTGTGTGTGTGTGTGTGTGTGTGTGTGTGTGTGTTTGTGTGTGTGCATGTTGGGGGAAAAAAAGGATAACTTCTAGTGCAGTGGTCTGTGCTGCAGTGATTGCACCAGGGTCTGGATATTCTATGAACCGTGCCTTCACAGTCAGTGACTGGATCGTCCGCTC